CTAGGATTTTTATGGATTCATGAGTCACATTTAAGTCTTTTATCCATTTTGAGTTTATTTTTGTGTATGGTGTAATTTGATGGTCTAGTTTCATTTTTCTGCATGAAGCTGTCCAATTTTCCCAACACCATTTATTAAAGAGGCTATCCTTACTCCACTGTATGCTCTTGCCACCTTTGTCAAATATTAATTGAGCATATTGCCTTGGGTCCATTTCTGGGTTCTCTGTTCTGTTCCACTGGTCTATATGCCTGTTCTTGATTACAGGCTGTTTTGATTATAGTGGCTTTGTAGTATAACCTGAAATCTGGTAATGTGATCCCTCCAACTTTGTTCTTCTTTTTCAAGATTGCTGTGGCTATTCGAGGTCTTTTTTGGTTCCATATGAACTTTTGAAGTATTTGTTCTAATTCTGTGAACTATGCCGTTGGTATTTTGATGGGGATTGCATTGAATCTATAAATTGCTTTGGTTGTATGGACATTTTAATGATGTTAATTCTTCCAATCCATGAACAGGGTATATGCTTCCACTTTTTTATATCTTCCTCTATTTCTTTTTTCAATGACCTGTAGTTTTCTGCAAATAGGTCTTTTATTTCTTTGGTTAAGTTTATTCCTAGGTATCTTAATTTTTTTTACTGCAATGGTAAATGGGATTGTTTTTTTAGTTTCTCTTTCTGTGAGTTCATCATTGGTGTATAAGAATGCCGTCAATTTCTTGACGTTAATTTTGTATCCTGCTACTTTTCCAAATTCATTTATTAAGTCTAGTAACTTTTTGATGGAGTCTTTAGGGTTTTCTATGTATAGTATCATGTCATCTGCAAATAATGACAGTTTCACTTCCTCCTTTCCAATTTGGATCCCTTTTATTTTTTCTTCCTGTCTGATTGCTGTGGCTAAGATTTCCAGTACTATGTTAAATAAGAGTGGTGAAAGTGGGCATCCTTGCCTTGTTCCTGTTCTGAAGGGAAATGCTTTTCGTTTTTGCCCATTGAGTATGATGTTGGCTGTAGGTCTTTCATATATGGCCTTTATTATGTCAAGATATAATCTCTCTATTCCCACATTGCTGATTGTTTTTATCAGAAATGGATGCTGGATTTTGTCAAATGCTTTTTCGGCATCTATTGATATGATCATGTGGTTTTTATTCTTAATTTTATTTATGTGGTGTATCATGTTTATTGATTTGCGAATATTGTACCAGCCTTGCACCCCTGGGATGAGTCCCACTTGGTCATGGTGAATAATTTTTTTGGTGTATTGCTGGATCTGATTTGCTAGTATTTTGTTCAGGATTTTGGCATCTATGTTCATCAGGGATATTGGCCTGTAGTTTTCTTTCTTTGTAGTGTCTTTTTCTGGTTTCGAAATTAGAATTATGCTGGCCTCATAGAACGTGTTTGGAGTCTTCCTTCTTCTTGAATTTTTTGAAATAGTTTGAGGAGAATGGGTGTTAGTTCTGCATTGAATGTTCGGTAAAACTCCCCCGTGAAGCCATCCGGGCCTGGGCTTTTGTTTGCTGGGAGAGTCTTGATTACATCTTCAATTTCTTCTGTTGTTATTGGTCTGTTCAAGGTTTCTATCTCTTCCCGGTCCAGTTTTGGGAGACTATGTGTTTCTAGAAATTTGTCCATTTCGCTTAGATTGTTGAATTTGTTGCCATATAATTCTTCATAGTAGTTGTTAACGATCTTTTGTATTTCTGTGGTGTCAGTTGTTACTTCTCCTCTTTCATTTCTGATTTTGTGTATTTGGGTTCTCTCTCTTTGTTTCTTGGTGAGTCTAGCTAAGGGTCAATCAATTTTGTTTATCTTTTCAAAAAACCAGCTCTGTTTCATCGATCCTTTTAATTATTTTTTTGGACTCTATGTCGTTTATTTCTGCTCTGATCTTTACTATTTCCTTCCTTCTGCTGGCTCTGGGGTTTTCCTTTTGTTTGCTCTCTAGTTCTTTAAGTTGTGAGGTTAGATAGTCTATTAGAGATTTTTCTTGTTTTTTGAGGTAGGCCTGTAGTGCTATGAACTTCCCTCTCAGAACTGCTTTTGCTGCATCCCATAGATTTTGTATTGTTGTGTGTTCATTTTCATTGGTTTTCAGGAAGTTTTTAATTTCTTTCTTGATCTCCTCAGTAACCCATTCATTGTTTAATAACATGCTATTTAGCTTCCACGTGTTCAAATGTCTTTGCATGTTTTTGTTGCAATTGATATCTAGTTTCATGCCTTTGTGATCTGAGAAGATGCTTGATATGATTTCAGTCTTCTTGAACTTGTATAGACTTAGTTTGTGTCCTAACATGTGGTCTATCTTTGAGAATGTCCCATGTGCACTTGAGAAGAATGTGAATTCTGTAGTTTTGGGGTATAATTCTCTGTAGATACCTATTAAATCCATTTGGTCTAGTACTTTATTTAGAGTCTCTGTTTCCTTGCTAATTTTTTGTCTAGAGGATCTATCCAGTGATGTCAGCGGGGTGTTGAAGTACCCTGTTATGATTGTATTGCTATCGATTTCTCCTTTGAAGTCCTCCAGAAGATTTTTAATATATTTTGGTGCTCCTATATTGGGTGCATATATGTTTACCAAGGTTATATCTTTCTGTTGGATAGATCCTTTCAATATTATGTAGTGGCCTTCTTTGTCTCTTGTTATGGCCTTCATTTTGAAATCTATTTGATCAGATATGAGTATTGTTACCTCAGCTTTTTTATTCCTTTCTGTTTGCTTGGAAGATTTTTTTCCATCCCTTCACTTTCAACCTATGTGAGTCTTGTGTTGTGAGGTGGGTCTCTTGTAAACAACATATAGACAAGTCATGCTTTCTTATCCAATCAGCTACTCTCTGTCTTTTTATGGGAGCATTCAATCCATTTACATTTAAGGTGATTATTGATATGTACTTATTTATTGCCATTTTTGTTTAGTGTAGTTATATTTTTCTTCCTATTTCTCCTGCTAATTACAGCAGTCCTTTTAACATTTCTTGCAGTGCTGGTTTGGTGCTAATGTATTCCCTTAGCCTTTTTTTTGTCTGGGAAGCTCTTTATTTGACCTTCTATTTTGAATGATAGCCTTGCTGGGTAGAGTAGTCTTGAATTCAGATCCTTGTTTTTCATGACCTTGATTACCTCATGCCATTCCCTTCTGGTCTGTAGTGTTTCTGTTGAGAAGTCAGCTGAGAGCCTTATGGGGTTTCCTTTGTAGGTAACCTGTTGCTTCTCTCTTGCTGCTTTTAGGATTCTCTTTTTGTCTTTAATTTTTGGCACTTTGATTACTATGTGTCTTGGTGTGGGCCTGTTTGGGTTCTTCTTACTTGGGGCTCTCGGTGCTTCTTGAACTTGAATGCCTTCTTCCTTTGCCAAATTAGGGAAGTTTTCTGTCACTATTTCTTCAAATATATTCTCTAACCCTTGCTCATTTTCTTCTTCTTTAGGGACTCCTATGATGCGAATGTTAGTACGTTTCCAGTTGTCCCTATGATGCGAATGTTAGTACGTTTCCAGTTGTCCCACAGATTTTCTTAAGCTGTTTTTCTGTTTTTTATTATTTTTTCCTTTTGGTTTTCTGATTGGTTGATTTTTTTCTACCCTATCTTCTAATTCACTGATCTGGTCCTCAGCTTCCTCTACTCTGCTATTTAGACTTTCCAATGTGTTTTTTATTTCTGATATGTCATTCTTCATTTCTTCTTGGTGGTTTTTAATTTTCAACTTGTTGATTTTCAACATTTCTATGTCTTTACTCATGTCCTTACACATATGTTGAGCTTCCTCAAGATCATGGCTCTGAATTCTAGTTCTGTTAACTTGCTTAACTTGCACCTTATTTATCTCATCTTCAGTAGAGGTCTCTTGTTCTTTCATTTGGCTTTTGTTTCTGTGTTTCACCATTTTGGATATCACAGTGGGCTTTGGAGCCTGCCAAATTTTCCCTGTGGGTGTTGTTGTTCTGCTGTTTGTGGCTCCCTCTCCTAGGTTTGGGTGAGGCAGTGAGGACCCACTTTAAACACCACTGTCAAGTCTTACTTTCCTGGTTAGAGTTGCTAGCCCAGGGAATGGTAGTTATCCTCTAGCTTTTTTGCCTGGAGGCTATTGGTCACCTGAAGAAACTTGGTTTCTGAGTTGAATGAAAAACTCCCTCAGGTGCTCAGTGTAAGAGGATCTCCTGAGAGTGGGGCAGATGCTGGTTGTTAATGGGCCTCAATTAGCATTTCATTGGTCACCGGGTGGGGTTGAAACTCCGAGAGAGGGGCCGCCGCCTCTCCCCAGAGCCCTGTAAAAGAGTTAGATGACCACAGTCCTGCGTGGCTGCAACTCAGCAAAAGCTCTGAGCACCCTCCAAATCCCAAGTATCCCCACACAGTTCCAGTCCAGTCTGCCCTCCCTCTGCCGGAGCCCAAGAGGAGTGGCTGCTGCTAATTTAGCCTCTGTCCCGGCTCTGTGCTGTGAAGCTGCTTGGGAGTGTAACCTGTGGCTACTGCTCCCAGCTAAGGCTGTTGCTCCTGGCCGAGGCTGCAGCAGCTCCCAGCCAAGGGCGTAGCACCTAGCCGAGGGTGCAGCTCCCAGCCGAGGGCACAGGTCTCAGCCGAGGCCACAGGTCCCAGCCCAGGCCGCAGCTCCCAGCCGAGGGCGCAGCTCCCAGCTGAGGCTACAGCAGGTCCCAGCCCAGGCCGCTGCGGACTGTGGGCTCCTGGCCCCCTCTTGCATCTTCGCAAGCCTACCAGGATTGAGTCAGTGTCCCTGGTTATGTGGTCCTCCAAGCTGCTTTTAGGTTGCCTTTTCCTGACGATTTGTCTTTATTTTCGTTGTAATTCCAGTTTGGTCTTAGAAGATGGTCTGTATAGCTTCCATTCACTCAACTGCCATTTTCTGCAGATGGGGTTTTTGACTCTTAGCCACCAGTTACTCCAGGTCCAGCTGGTCCTTTCTGGGCCAAGGTGTGTCTCTGTAGTTGTGAACTCACCATGTGCTTACCAGTGTCCTTCCCATCCAGGTCATTGCTGTGGTCATGGACCTCTTCACCGATGGCAATATCTTCCAAGACATTGTGGATGCTGCCTCTAAGCGCCGGGTCCCCGTGTACATCATCCTGGATGAGGCTGGAGTGAAGTATTTCCTGGAGATGTGTCAGGGCCTAGAGCTCACTGACTTCCGTATTCGGGTGAGTTATACCACTGTGGGGGATGTGGGGAGCAGAAATTAAGACAGAGACGGCCTCTTCCCCTTTCTCTGCCTCTCTTCCAGTTCAGGGGCTCAGATGAATATCAAGATCTCAACACCTGTCTAAAACCTTATCTCATTAACTGATAACCCTAAATTATGTGCCAAATTCAAATTTTATCACAAGGCTGCTGAGGCTAAGGAGGCAGTTCTGGCCCAGATCTGGGATGCTCTGCCTATAGTCAAAGCTAGGGCTGTGTTTCTCTTTTGGGGAGCTTTGGGAACAGGCAGGAAACACCCTGAGCTTATCCACACCCAAAGCAAGAGTTGCTGACTTCCTCCCTCTCTCTAAATGGGGTTCTACTGTAAGGCCATAGGAAGCAGAGCTTAGTGCCAACAGGAGCCAGCAGCAGGCTCTCGTGGACAGGAGAGCTCCTCCTCTGCCTAAGCAAACACTTGGCTCAGAGGCTTGCAGGCTGTAACCTGAGGGACAGTGTCTTTCTTCTCTTCTCAACAGAACATCCGTGTCCGTTCTGTGACAGGCATGGGCTTCTGCCTGCCCACGGGGAAGATCAAGGGGACCCTGTCATCAAAGTTCTTAATGGTAGATGGTGAAAAAGTAGCCACAGGATCTTACAGGTGAGTTGGGCCAGGTGAGAGGAGGGCCTGGGAGGCCTTTACAAATTGTAATAAATGTTTATTTTCAGGAAAAGGCTGGACTAGAGCCTCCATGGTCATGGGTTTAAGAGGTATTGTCTGATCTAATGACAAAGAAAGGCCTCCTGGCTAGTCCCGTCCCTCAAACTTTGTGGCTACCGGATTATTCCAGAAAGAGGGTCAACTCTTACTGAACATTAAACACAGCCTGCTTTTCATGGTCCACAGCAAATGGTTGCATTTTGAGGCTAATTGTTAGGTAGGACAAGCAGGAAGCAATGGATCAGAGCTGGGAAAGAAATGTGAGGCCGTGGCATGGAAGGACTGTCTCCTGAATTCTGGTGCAAAAGTAAATTACCAAAAACACGACAGACAATATCTGTGCAAGTGTCTGCCCTCCACATAAATTAAAACCTAGGTGCCAAAAAGAGACCTGGGTACCAGAAACAATTAATAAATGACATAAATCCTCTTACAGGTTAAAGTATGAGGTTTTGCAGATACTCAGTGCTCTAAAAATTCAGAGGAGAACCAATAAGGAACGGGATGATATTAACAATAGTAGCAGCTGCAGTGACTACTGTTTAAATGTGTGCACTGTGCCAGCTACTGAGCTAAATGTTTTATACACATTATCTCACTCGAGCCTCACAACAGCTCCGTGACTCTACACCCTGTGAGCCCCGTTTTACAAGGCACCCAGGGTAGAAACCAGGCTTGAATCCAGGCCTGACTTCTCGTCCTTGCCTGGCACCCACTGCCTGCTTTTGCATTTGAAGCCAAGACTAGAAAAAAAAGGAGGAGTGGGTCAATGGAGGGTCAGCACCCCAGCACGAAGTCCAGGAGGTGCCTTCCACAAGGCAGCAAGGCGTCCAGCCTCAGGGGTAGATCAGGTTGGGGTGGTCGCAGCAGGGTGTTGAGATGGGCTTGCCCAGGGGCTGTTGGTAGGGTGAGACCACTGGCCTGGGCACATGTGTCTTGCTTTTCTGTTCCCACATTCCCAGGTTCACCTGGAGTTCCTCCTACGTGGACAGGAACCTTCTCCTCCTCTTGACAGGGCAGAACGTGGAGCCCTTTGATGTGGAGTTCCGGGAACTATACGCCATCTCTGAGGAGGTGAACTTGTACAAGCTCCTGGGCCTGGCAGGAGGTGCAGGCAGGCTTGGCCTTAACTACTCCTCCACTGTGGCTCGCAAGCTTATCAACCCCAAGTATGCCCTGGTGTCCGGCAGCCGCCACCCGCCGGGGGAGATGATGCGCTGGGCTGCCCGGCAGCAGCGGGAGGCTGGTGGCAACCCAGAGGGGCAGGAGGAAGGCAGCAGAGGCCGGGCATCAGCCGAGCGCCTGGAGAACTTTCTGAATGACCTAGTCACGCTGGAGCAGGTGCTACCCCCCGTAGAGCCTATACCCTCAGGAGAGCTGAGTCGGAAGGATGGCAGGGTGGTCTCTCACCTGCACGTGGACCTCAAACCCCGAGAGCCTCTTACCCGAAATGGCAAGGGAGAAGCTGTCAACGGGGAGGCCACCCCAGCCAAGCGCTTTAACTACAGGTTCTTCAGCCGCCGGGCCAAGAGGCCTGCAGTGCCCAACGGCATGGCCAACTCCCTCTCCACCGAGAACTTTGCTGAAGTGGAGTTTAGGATGGGGAAGAGGCCCAATGATGGCTCCAGTGCCGACACCTCAGGTGAGCCCTCTTGCTCGGGCCCAGAGCTTCCCGGGTCACTGGCTGTTATCAGAGAGATTGCCTTGTACCTGCAGAAATGCAGCTTGCTGGCATGGAGAGAGCCCAGGTCTGGGGTCAGAGAGTCTTCATTTCCCGTTCTGCTCTGGCTTTCATCTACCTCGAGGCCTTGAGCCAGCCACTGCAGCTCTGAGTTTCATTTCCTCTTCTCTAAAAGGGGAGAGAATGATGCTTGCCTTGCCCAGCTGTTCTGAGGATATAAGGTACTCAGAACAGTGCTGGGCATGGGGTAGTCTGAGAGCTGCTGTTACTAATACTAGAGCTTAGAAAGGGTCTCCTTTGTAAATGAAGCTGCAGAGGCACAGAGCAGCTGAGTGTCAGGGCCAAGGCTCGATCTCACCTCTAAATCTAGGGCTTTATCTGGCAAAGGTTGTTCCTTGTCATCAGGATATTATAACCTGGTCAAACACACCATACCCTCACCTGTGCTCCACCTACACCCTGATCCAGCTTCCTTGTTTCTGTTTTAAAATAGATTGACTTGGTTCCTCCTGTGTTTGTTTGATAAGTGGTGTTTGCCATGCTGCTTACCTCTGGGAGAGATTGTTCCTGATGGTGTTATCTTTCTGGCTGTCTTTCTGGGATCCCCTAGAGGCCCTGGCCTTTATCTCTTTCTCCAGAGCAGTTTCCAGTGCAGCCTTTCCAGAGGCTGGTGGTGACGTCAGGACCACTACTGCTGCTTGTTCTCATGTCAGCATCTTGAGGTCGAAAAGGTTTTCATGTTCGGATTTCTCCCTCTGTGGGTGTGGAGCCTTGCAGCAGTGAGACTGGGCTCCCTGGCTGGCCCCGTAGTGAAGGCAGAGCCCGAGGTCTTGCCCTGGGCAGCCTGAGCACTTCCAGGACTCCTACATCGCCACTGCCCCAGCTTTGACCTGATAGTGAGTGGCTTGAGTGCACGGATCTTAACCATCATCTGCTCCGCTCATTCCACAGCTCTGCTGCAGAGCCTGCCATACTCTGTACTTCTGAAAGTTAGGACAGGCCTGGGAGTCTCGGCAAGTTTGGACCCAGAAGAAGTACCAGTGTTTTTAGGCCACTGTTTGGCCAGGGAGCATTTATTAAGCACCTCCATGTGCTAGGTCCTTCACTAGGTGCTTTCTCTCTCTCTTGGCCCTCGGTGGTGGCAGGTGGGAGCTTGGAGAGGTGAATTTAGTGGTCCCCAGGCACAGTAAGTGGTACTGGGGCCAGGACTCACACCCAGGCCAGGGCCCATGTCCTGTCAGGGGGCATGACTGGCCCAGTCCATTTCTCCATTGGCTCCCTGGTTCCCCCAGCACCAGATGCGGCTGCTGCTTTGCACCTCTTGTTTGGTGGCAGGGTTGCCATGGTGAACATCTGGCAAGGAAGGGAAGGGGAGGGACGAGTCCAACCACAAAAGAAGCCATTTCCCAAGTCCTGATGAAGGTGAAGTAGAAGCTTTCTCTTCCTTCAGCCCCTCACCCCGAGGTGCTGTTTCCATAGAAACGAAAGGCCCATTGTCTTGTCCCTTTTTACTGCCTTTCCTGTGTCTCTCAGCATTGGGTCCCCTGCTTAGATGACTTAGACGGTCTCTGCTCAGTCTCACCACTCACATGGTGCCCAGCAGCCAGCCAGGCAGACCCAGACTGTGCGCTGGGGAAGCTCCTCTGCTGAGGGCCTGACACGCAGAGAGGGAGAGAGGACAGCAAACTCGAGAGTCACATAAAAAGATGCCCAGCAAGATCACCCTATTCCTCTTCATTCTTTAGAAGGAACACAGAGTAGCCTCTGCCCACCTAGGTGGGCGTCTAGTACCTGAGGGCCCGAAATTAAAGTCCCTAATGAGACCTTTTCTCTCCCTGCTGCTTTCTTCCCTCAAAGGCAAGGCAAGAAGCAGGGCTCCTCTCCTGCAGCTGGGCTGTCTTAGTGCCTCCTCTCAGTCACTAGGAAGCTGGGTCTCTAGGACTCTGTGTGCCAGAGGGTCAAGCTCCTAACAGCACGGGGACCTCCAAGGTTGGCACTAGTAATCCTGGTGTATTTGGAACTGTCAGCTGGGAGGAAATCACTTTGCTGCTACCTTAGGGCCCCCATCCAGGGAAAGGCTCCCAGTCCTGCAATGAACATTCAGACCATCATCACAACAGCCGTTGAAGGATACCTTGCTCCTCACCCTCTGAATGCACCCTTTCACCTCCCCGGACCATTTCCTGCTCAAGAAGAGGAAGGGGCTGAACCAGAGAGAGATTCAAAGGTCCCTTTGAGCTCTGATTCTAACCCTGTCCTTTCTGTCTCTGCTGCCCACCTGGTAAGGGGAGCCTGGGCTGGTGATAGGGTGGATGAAAGAGGGAGAAATAGAAAAGCTAAGTGTTGGTAGCCTGTAAAATTGCTTGATAAGAAGTATATAGGTGTCCAACATGCAGATTTTGCGAACCCAAGTGTGGTCCTTGGGAGAACCTTCAGAAATCCCTTCCTTTAGGTCTGGATTTCAGCAAGGGGCTACCTGGGGGTTTGAAGGCTCATGGCCCCCTCTACTGGCGGAAGCTGAGCACCTTTTCCTTCTGGTTTTTCTCTTGGCTGAGACCTTGCTCCTGTGATAAGTGTGTGTACCTTTGCGGAATACCCATCCAGGAGCTCCAAACACACCCTCTGGGGGAGATCCTAGCCTCAGGGAACAGTGTTAAAACAGTGAGGGGTCTGTACTGCTGGGTTGGGTTCAGGGATCTGCATTTTAAATAAATGCCCTGAGTGTTTCCCATGTAGGGGGTCCTCAGAGCAGCAGACTGTTGTGACACTGGAACAAGGCCCTGCCCTCAGGGCTGCCAGGCTGGGGAAGAAGGTTCCAAAGGCTGTCCTGAAGCCCCTCCTTGCTCATGCTGAGAAATGGCCAACGTTTGAACACAGTTAAAAGAAGGAAGAAAGGCACAGACTCACTGAACACCTGGCATGTGCTGGGTGGGCGGGTGCTAAGTGCTTTCTCCCGGAACTCACAAACACCCTGCCTGATGATATCATTTCACAGACAAAAGGCGAGCCCCTGTGTCCATGGTCACACAGTGAGAACCAGTCAGCATGGCCTCCTGCCTCCCAGGGCTTTGCATGAAGCATTAGTCTGTCTCCGGAAGGTTAGGTTGGCACCATTTCCCCACATCTTTAAAGACTGCAAGGGCCAGAGGCCTGAATAGATGATTGATTCTCCCCCTGGAATCCCACCAGCAGAGGAAGAAGGGAGTGATCCTTTACGCTCTAGAGTACCCTCTGGGACACTACCTGTCCAGGTCCTCTAGTTCCACACTTTTCTTCCCTGAGTTCTTTGAGGTGCTTCTGGTGGCAGCTGCCTTTCCAGATCTCTCCTGGGCTCCTCTGATTCGTGCATGGACAGGACACCCTGGCTGGCAGTGTGGCCTGGCTTCTAGTGATGTGGGTGCTAGGCTCCTGGATTTGGGGACTTGAGACTTGCCTCTGTCATCCCTGGGGACTGGAGGACTCAGATCTCTCTCCTGTCCAGGATGGAAGGTTGAAGACATGCTTCTAAGGTTTTGGAGCTCTAGATCCTGGGCAAGTCTATTCAAGAGCTATCTTGTCAAGGTGAAATTCAAAATTCAGGGTAATTCCTGAGCAGCGTGGATTCTGACCCCAACTGGTGTTTGGAGACTGCAGTCTTGTGTTACAAGCCTGAGCAGTGTCACCAGCTGGGGTCCAGGTCACACTGCACAGATAAAGGGAGCCAAGAGAGCCTCCTTCAAGGAGCTGATCCCACTCAACTCTAGAGAAGAGGCAGGCATCCTTATTCTCATCAGCAGGTGTCACAATGCTCCTGCCATTCTGGTTTACTTTGGGCCTAGCCAGGGCCTCCGTCACCACCTAGGTAAGTGAGGTGAGTGAGAGCACATGTGTCATCATCTGTTGACACCATTTTTTTTTTTTTTTATCCTCACACAAGGATCTGTTTTCAGAGCAAGGAAGAGAGAGAGAGAGAGAGAGAGAGGGAGAGAGAGAAACATTGATGTGAGAGAGAAACATCAATCATTGCCTCCCATACATACCCCAAGCATGCAACCTATGTATGTGCCCTGACCAAGAATCAAACCTGCAACCTTTTGGTGTATGGGATGATGCTCCAACCAACTGAGCCATCCAGCCAGGGCTGCTTGATCATTCATTTCATTCCAAACAAATGTATGTCTATGCAGTCTACTCTGTGCCACACGCTATTTTGAGTTCCTGGTACAGCAGTGAGTAAAACCAGCAAAGTTCCCACCCTTATGGAGAGAATACCTGCAGAGAGAGGGCAGGCAGGGCAATGACCCTTTGATAAAGGGGGATGGGGAAGTCCTCTGACAAGGGGGCATTTGAGCAGACCTGAGTGGAGGGAGGGAGAGAGCCAGATGGCTATGTAGGGGAAGAATCTTTCCGGAAAGGGGAATGTAGAGCCCTGAAACCTGAAGGAAGGTAGAGCCCTCATCCTAGTCCTGCTGTCCATGGCAGTGTCCCTGCCTCCCTCCCTCCCCCAGGCTGTGTCCCACCTCCAGCCCTTACCTTCATGCTGACTCCTCCCACTTCCCAGCCCAATTTCAGTCTCACTCCAGTATGACCTCCCTTTGAAGTTTGACTTTCTTTTATAAACCTCCTCCTGGCATCCATGCCACAGATACTCTGTAAAATATTTTGGCTGTTCATGGATTCTTCCCTGTTAATCTGAGCAGGTCTGATTCGCCTCCGAGTCTTGCTGAACACCGACACGAGGTGGGCCCCCATCCCTGTGCACTGAAGGGACTATGAGACATAAAGAATTCTCCCTCAAACGGTTTCTCTGTCAGAGGCATGAAAATGAATTCTGAGTATAAAGGGTCTCCCCTGGCTTTTATCCAGCCCTATCAAATTAGCGTGAGAGTGGGTGTTCCTGCCTTCTCCAGAGGAGCTGGGTCTGTATGCGGGCTCCGCTGATGCCCCTGCCTGTCCGGAGCTTGTTTCGCTTACCCGCCTCCAAGATGCTGCTGCCTCCGGGGAGGAACTTGGCATCTGCTCAGTAGGCCAAGCAAATAAAACAAGCCACTAAGGAGAGAAAGTGGGGACAGACATGTCCATTGCAGCAGAGAGGTGATGGTGGGATAGCAGAATATAATCACTTCAGAGCTGCACCAGAGACAGCCTCAGCACCGCCATGGAAGATGACCAAGCTTCTTGACCCTTGGAACCCTCGGGGAGGGAGGAGGCACAGTCACCAGGTCCCTTCCCACCTCCTCTGAGCTCTAAATGCTGTCAGCACAGTCCCTAAGGAGCTCGGCTGAACTTGTAGTCAGTCCCAAGGAGTGGTTCATGAAGCAGGGCAGGGGGGATGGACCCCACTTGGCCTGTCCAATGTTGCTCTTGCTCATGGCCCAGGGAAAGTGGCAGCTACCACCTTAATTAAATTTACAGCTGAAGTGATAAGGGAAGGTAGCGTGAGCATCCAGGGGACAACCCCACACTTGCAGTGTAGAAACGAACTGGCAGGAAATAGCTCAGCAGCTCTCACCTGGGAGAAAGGCAGCCAGCACTCTTGGATTCAGTGGCCAACACCTCGCAGGCAGGCCAGGAGGTATCAGTGTCTGCCTTGTAGCCAGTGACCACCACCCCTCCTCCCCACAAAGAAGCCACCGTCCTCTGCTAGGGATTATAAAGGAAGGGGCCTGGGAAGAGAACTATGCTTCTCTAGCCTGGAGGGATGCAGCTGGCTTTCCCCCTCCTTTCTATGAAATGCATTCCCTCCATCCTGTACATTAAAACCGCCTCCGTAAGCATGTGGGCCCTGGCACAGTGCCTGGCTTCCGGTCAGCCTACTGACCTTACTAAGGCACAAGATTCTCCCCTTCCAACCTAGGCAGCCTGCATGGTGGAGGGAGTGGCTGCCCAGGAGGATCACTAGAGAGAATGACTGTGGTTATGCTTTGTGGGCTGTGAGGCTGCATAGGGTATTAGCTGCAGGTGAATTGCCTCTTGACAAGACTTTTAAGTCATTGACTGTAGTTGTTGGTTTGGGGTCTACATCCTTCTCCCCACCCCACTGAGGTCAGGAGAAGACAGATCCCTCAGTGTCCCAACCAGTGGCAGTCTTGCTGAGGCCACCATGATGGGGAGAATCTTTCCTCTTGCTTTCCTGGGGGCCCTACTGACTTGCCTCCAGTTCAGCAGTTTGGGAGGGAGACCGTGACCCCAACCCGAAATCTGAGGTGTGGGTGGTGCACAGGAGAGGCACTGGAGGCAGTCCACTGAGCACTTCACTTACATCCTTCCTGCCTGTGTCCCTTGTCTCTGCAGGTAAAACAAGTCCCAGTCCTGCCAAGACCAGCAATTGTGTGATTTCCTGAGCTGCAGGCCAGCAGTGGGCAGGACCTGTGGATGCCCTGCTGTTCTGTCCTGTGGAGAACACAGGTCAAACCCTGCACCAGTTTGCACATCGGACCCCTACTGTCTTCCTGCCTAGAAGCCTCCATCCTGGCCCCAGGATCCCTGAATCCCAGATGTGAGAATCTGCCACATCTCAAGGCAGTCACACATCTCCACAGGACCACTGTGGCTGGGCAGGGGTCGCTCCTCCTTGTTTACATGAAGTGAAAGCTTGACTAGCGTCCTCTCTCCTTTGTGCCCGACCCCTTCCCTCCACGGGGCCAGCCTCGCCCTGCCCAGATGGGGTGAGCCCATATCTTTCTACCTTAATGTGACAGGGTTTCCAGGGCAGCCCCAGCCTCCTGACTTCTTTCCTGGGCTTCCTGGTGCTTCTGGTCCCCCCAACAGGCTTGGTGGAATAAAAGGGAAGATGACAGGGACCCTTGCTCTAGCCTCTGAACTGAAGATAGATGATGCTAGGTCAGCTGGGACACTGGCTACTGTGGCCTTCTGGGGGGTCCCTGCAGCCTCTTGCACTAGACTCTGAATGAAATGAGGGTGAGCCAGAGGCAGAATTTGACACTGCCATTTGGAGAGCCCTTGTACTAAGGTCTCCGTTCCCTCACTCTGCCCCATCTTGGAGCTCTCTGCCCCAAGGGGTCTAGGCTTCCTTGGCTGTTGCCTGCTGCAAACCCTCACAGGGTTCTTCTAGTGCTGTTACCTGGGGCCACTCCCTCCCCTTCATGTGCCTTGATTTGCAGCCCAAGGCAGGGAGAGAGCTTGGCCAAGAGGGAGATCCGGTGGTGTGGGAGGCTGGGCCCGTTGGACAGGAACATTTGCCCTCTCCCCACCCCTGAGATGGCCCTTAGTCCCCGTATCTAGTTACATTTCAGCCCAAGACAAGCCTTAGCCCCCCTGCCAAAAGTCAGACTGTGTTTAGGACCCTCAGCCTCTTCAAGAGTCTCATTGCCATGATGTCAGGCCAGCAAGTCTGCCTGAAACCACACACTGCCCTCACCCTACTTGTGTGCCTTGGGGTCTGAGGAAAGAGTGTGTGAATGCACACCAGAGAGATTGCCAAACTGCAGGCTCTGCAAGCAGGGCCCCTGGGGCAAGGTGCTGGCGTCAGAGCCCGTGCTGTGAACCCATGAACACCCCTGGCCTCTCAGCCACTCAGCCTCTCACTTCTGTGTCTTTCCTTCTGCAAAGCCCTGGGACACCAGCAGCCCCTGGGGGAGGAGCCCAGATGTCTGTGAGGGGCCAGCAAGGGCATCCTGGCTGTGCTGAGGTGAACAGATGTCGTTTGAAGAGCAGGAAGTGGGACAACACAGTGCAGTCACTGGAGAAGAAGGCGTGAAGGGGATGGGGTGGGGGCTGCACCTGGTTCCCAGGGCTCCTGTGTTCATCCTGAGGTAGACCCTGAGCTTTTGTGAGGATTAAACACTTTCTGGGAAGTGCTTCCTTATGCACCAAGGCCTGGCAGTGTGGCACATGTTTGTTCTGGAAGGGAAGGGAGGGAGAGGTGGAAACCAAGGATGTGGCCGTGCTACACCTCAGCTCACAGTGGTCACCCTGACGGTGTGGGATACGGGTGGGTAAACAGCAATGAGGGAAAGAGACCACTGTTGATGGGGACAAGGGAGGAGCCAGCTCCTAAGCAATTCTGCTAGGGTTTTGAGGGCCTCCTCCGCGAGAGGGGCGGCTCCGTCCCCCTTCCCTCTCCTGCCCCGAAGTAGGCCCAGTTCCCTCCCTGTCCTGACCTGTAGGAGGATCCAGATCGGAAGTTCCAAGTCACTGTGGCCTTGAGCCAGGCCTCCATTCTTCCCCAGTTTTTCTGTGTGCTGAGGTGGGTTATCTCACTTCATAGAAACGGGGTGGGAAAGAGGTCTGGCCTGTGAGGCACCCAGCCCTGCAATCCCAGACTCTTCTCCTGACTGAGGTTCAGATAAGATGGCCGCTGACCCCCACTAGCCCTGAGATTCTTAGGAAGAGACAGCAGTCCACAGATTGCTGAGGGTCCTTAAGTCCTAAAATGTGACTCCTAATGTTGGCTTGTCTGCCTGAGCTCCAGCCCACTCTACTCTGCCTCTTGGCTCCTCGCTCCATAGTACATCTGCCCTCTGTTCCAGCACTTGCATACACTTCGTGAAATATTCTCTCATTAAGTCTCAAGGGTACATCTGGCCTTCCCAGTTGGATGGCAAGTTCAAGGGTGGATTGTGCCCTTGGTTGCCCCGCAGCAGCTTGCACAAGGCTGGTAGCATCAGAACGGTTGGGGAGGAACAAGAATGAGAGGGATAAGAGCACTCGGTATGGGGGCCTGGCTTGGCAGCCCCCACCCCCCTACCACCACCAGGCTGCCTACTTTCTGAGTTCGACTTCTACAGGCTGAGTGTCCACAACTGGTATGGCTGCTTGGGAAAGCCGACCTCCTAGGAGAGCGGTATCTGAGGGCTGAGTCCCTAGGGCTGTTGCCACCCTGGATCTTGCCCCATAGGGTTAGGAAGCAAGGGACTCCTGCATGGGGCTAGGAGTCTTTCCCTTGAGGTTTGGAAAAATTTACCACTCTCTTGCCAGCTGTCTGTCCTTAGATATGGTTAGTCCTATTCCTGATTCCTCAAGGATGCTTTCAAAACAGCTTCTGCTAACATCACGGCCCTCTGTCTGTATAGAACCTAATAGAAAATCTAGACCAAAAAAGGGCAGCCTTGAGATGTGGAGGAAACAGGCCAGAGAGGGAGTGGGCTTTTTTTGTTGTTTGATTTCTTTTGCTATGCTGCTTTTCTCTTTTTAATTTATTGAGTGCCTACTATATACCAGTCACTGTGCTAGATGCTTTGATCACCTGTAGGTTTCAAACTAAGAAAGCTCAGGAAACAGTTCTTAACAAAATAACAAACCTTTTTCTTATATTTTTGGGGATTGACCCTCACAAAACTGTGTGATGAGCAGCATAGGTCTTGTTCCCATTTTTCAGATGAGGTACACAGCTCTCTGCCAGAATCCCACATCACATAAAATGCAGATCTGAATCTGCCTCTCAGCTCCAGGATTCTCACCTTCAACACTAGTGACACGTTAGAGCCACAAAGTCCTCTGTAGGGGGAGGGGCTGTCCTACACATTGTAGGATGTTAGCAGCACCTACTAAGATGCCAGTAGCACCCCTCCAGATAAGACAACCAACAATGTCTCCCGATGTTGCCAAATGTCCCGAGGGGGAGATGTAGCACTCAAATTGCCCTAGTGGAGAAGAACAACTACTTTGCAGCCCTGAAGGCCCACAGAGTGCTTTCACATGCATACCCCCCAAAAATGTACTTTGGCCCAGAGAGGTTGGCTGACTTGTCAAAGATTGTGCTTTCTGTGACTGACATGATAGCATCTTCCATCGTTGGTCTAGTTACCTTGTTAGCTCTGCACTGCCTGGTCCTCCCGGAACAGGTGTGTTTACATGCACACATCTGCCTTACACCGCTCAGTGCCCTATCACTTTTTCTCCCAATCTGTTCCCTTCCTTCAGTCTCAGTTAAATCCTGCATGAAAAAATCATTGGACCTACCCATGTGTGCCCAGCAGTGTCCTCACCTCAGAAGGCAGCCAGGGCTGACAGCAGTGAGCCTTCCACGCTCAAGTCAGGCCAAGTGGGAGTTGCAACCTGGAGTGTCAGGAGCATAGTCTGAGTGAACATCGACAAAGGCCCCTCAGCAGCTAATTAGCCCCATGGTACACCTTGGATCGAGGATATAGTTGATCATCTGGCTGTGCCCCAAAGTCAATCTCCCTGCCTAGAGGACCCGGCGGCTGTCACTGATCATCTGCACTGCTGTCTCAGTGGCAGGAGCTTTGGTGCAGAGCAGGTACCCTGGGCTCAGCAAGCTGAGCCAGACCAAGGTTGGGAGGATATGTACCTTAGAGAAGGTCGAGAGGTGGCAGGTACAGGCACCAGAGTGCTCTTAGGCTGAGTAATCACTACAGCAGCCAAAAGGCCTAGGAAAATTAGGGTGGCCTGAACTTTTCACCCCTCCCCTGCAAACCTTGGCCTTTCCACCAATGAACTGAGGAAGGCCCTGCTCCTGGGACCCGCTCCAGCAGCCTGTGCTGCCACCTGCACACAGGTACCCATTCCATCCTTGGGGGTCCCGAGCCTGAAGACCTGTATCTGCTTAATACGTATTTGTTAAATGATTAAAAACTTGACAGTCACTTGATAGGATAAGCCAGTTAATTGATGTGAGGGTGTTGTGGCCTCCAGAATTGATCACTACCCTTCCAATCTTCTTCCTGACTTCTGAGACTACACAGAAGCCAAACAGGACTCTACTCTCTGCTACTTAATTTCTCAAGGACTGGGTTTATCAAAAGTCTTTCCTGATCCAGCTTGTTCCTCTGAGAAAGTTTCTCCTTTCAGTGTGTGTCCTTGATGGACAGTCTTCATCTCCCCGTCGCTCCAGACTGGGTGAGCCCAGGTCTCCAGGCTGCTCAGGGATGACCCTGTCTGTGTATTTCCTTTCAAAAGGCCAACACGAAAGCAGGGGAGGAACAGATAGGACTTGAAGTGGGGAGATTTGTCCAAAGTCACCCTAAAAGTTATGGGAAGGGCTAGAATCTGGTTATCCAGACTCTCTTAGAGCACTGTTATGTGGCCTGTCCAAATGACAGCCAGCTTGAGACAAGTTTTCATCAGAAAAGTGGTTAGAAATTAGGCATTGTTTACAGCCTCTAAAAAGCATCTCCAGGAACAGATGTCCACATCATAGAAGACCAGCTAGGACCTGCCACAGAAACCAGCAAGTGTGTGGGAAGCCTGGAGGAGGAAAAGACAAGAACAGGCAGTGTGCCCAAAGAGGCCACGGTCCTCTGGGTACCAGCAAGGAAGAGAGCCATCCTGTGCTAAGAACAAGAACTATGCCTCATGATCCTCATTTCCTAAGTGCAGTTTGGACTCCCTGGCTCATCTCTTCCTGGAAGTGGAGTGATTGGACAAGGACAGGCACTTCACGGCAGTACTGTATTATTATTCATTTGTTCGTTCAGTGGATGTTTGCTGTGCAGTAGGCCTAGGGGTGCATGGTGAATGAGGAAGGTCTTTGTGCACTTGGGTTTAGAGTGGTGTGGGGGAATGCTGCTTGCTGTGATCTTAGCTGAGGCATGTGATGGCGTGAGGACCGTCTTCAAAATGGGAAGGCTCTGGGGAGTAAAACGCGGTGGCTAGCACAGGGGAGGGGCCAGCAGTGCTTAAGGTGGTGTGTTATATTGGGCGCTTTGTCATTTCCCTATTGGGACATTCTCTCCTGGCTTCTCACCCTGTATATTTGCCACTTTCATGTTGAGTAGTTGGCACACAGGGTTACATGCCTGTCCACATTCTGAAAGAAGATGGAGAAAAACCTACCAGAGATGCCATGTTGAGCCGCTCTGCCTCGTGCACTGCCATCCCCACCTCAGCTCAAAGGGTCTGTTGGTTCTCAGCATGGAAGAGGGCCACAATCTTTTGAACAGTTGTGCAAAAGTCCCACAACTGTTCTTGATTTATAATTCGGGGTAAAATCAACAATTTTAGTCTGTTTGGAGTATCCTTTGTATAGTAAATACAAATTAAACTGAAAACAAAGAAACAGCACATCCAGAAAAGCCTGCTACCTGCACGAAGCCACTGGACTTCCCAAACCAGTCCTGTACCCTCCCTGCAGGCTCCAGCCAGACTGGGAGGAGCTTAAGTGCCAGCTTCTGGCTGTGGGTTCTTAGAAGAACCTAGGGGGCTGAATCCAGTGTGGTGAAATGCTGACACCTTGTGGCCAGCTAGCGGTGCATTTCCTTCCTCCTCCAGGTAAGAGATATCAGATGGCAGAGGCCAGAGGTGGGCAAACTTGTTCTATAAAAGACCAGATAGTAAATAGTCCAGTTTTTGCAGACACATTGTGTGTCACAACTACCACTGCTTAGTACTAAACAACCACAGTATATAAAACAAGTGAGCGGGGCCGTGTTCCAATGACACTATGGACACTGAAACATGAATTTCAATATAATTTGGATGTGCCACAAAATATTATTCCTTTAACTTTTTTCAA